GGGGGGGGGCGCCTTGCGGTTAAACCGCGGCTGTTCGCGGTTGGGCTGATGAGCTAGCGCGTGGGCCGGGCTGCTGGGGCCCGAGACACAGCTGTCGGATGAAACACAGGCCTGAGATGAACTCCAGATGAAGAGTGATTCTGTAGTGCACGGTCCATGGGCTATACTTATACTAAAGTATTACTGGTTGTCCAAAATTCAACTATCACTGTGCATCCTGTATTTTTTTACTTTATTTTTTTAATTTGCTAAATCTTGCAACCCTAACCTGGGGCAAATTCTAAACCTCAGTTTTCTCACCAACGAAATGGGGGTAATCAGAACAGGACCTCGCTCCTAAAGTTGTGGGGATGGAAGGAGAGAATCCATGCAGAGAGTCCTTACCAGGTGATGAGCGCGATCAATGTTAGCTCTTAATTATTCCAGGCCAGTGCATCTTAGGATAAGTTCCTAGAAGTATGCGTGAGTTATGTAGAGCTCCCCAGCGTAATTTAAGGTTTGTCTGAACATTTGATCGTACCGAAAACGGTGTTTTGCGAAAAGCCTTGAGCAGGCTAGCAGGTACTCTACTAGCTGCAGAAGATTTTTAAATTTCCACAAGAAAACCAGAAATTGCCACCTACAGGCAAGTGCAGATTTTCTTCCAGTCACACCAGATAGTGGGATGTTGATTCTGATTTGTTTTCAATTCGAGAGTCGACTGAAACAGTATTCAAGGGGTGGTTGTGTAAGCAACATGCTTTATCCTTTCTAAGACTTACCCATGCTATCTAGACTGAATTAAATTATTCCAAAGCTGACTTAATATTAGGCCCAGGGCTCTAAGAAAAAGAGCAATCCTGTCTCTTTTTTCCCCCCGCAAAGCTGATATTTACAACACCCTTCTTTAGGTTTACTTAAAAAAAAATCCTCAAATTTTAAAACTAGAGAAAAGGTGTTACTTCAAGAAGATGCTCTGTATTTCTACTATAATTCTTTTTTCCTTCTGCTACAGAATTTCTATTTTGTGTTTTACTCTAATTTTAATAAGATTCATGGGTTCATTATAATCAATCTTTTATTACTTTCTAGAAGCAGGTTAAGGTCTAAATATGGGCCAAGAATATAATGATAACACGCTTATTTTGTGCTGCTACATTGACCTTTTAAAGGTTCAGTCAAGTGCCCCGGCTGGTTTGGCTCAGTGGTTAGAGCGTCGGCGTGCTGACTGAAGGGGCCCAGGTTCGATTCTGGCCAAGGGCACTTACCTCCCTTGCAGGCTCGATCCCCGGCAACCAATTGACGTGTCTCTCTCACATCGATGTTTCTCTCTCTCTCTCTCTCCCCCTTTTACTCTGTCTGAAAAGCTAATGGGGAAAAATATCCTCAGGTGAGAATTTAAAATATAAAATAAAATAATAAAATAAAAGGCTCTATCAAGTTACCCTGGCCACCTATAATATATGAGCACAGGTTTTTTTCCCCATGTCTGTCTTGCAAAAGATTTTATATTTTACTCAACACAAAGGTATAAAGAGATTGTAAACTGGTTCTTTTTTCTTTACATTGCATACATATTATCTCAAAGAACACAAGCTCCGTGAACAGAGGGGTGTTGGCACCCTAGCACCTAGGATGACACCTGGCCTGGGATGACCCCTCATTGGTTGATTGAATGAGCATAATAGATGAGTCCCGTTGTTTCTTGCTGTAAAAACCAGCTCATGTCTTCTCCAGCCTAGGCTCTGTTTAGCAATCCTGTCCTAAGTCTTCCCCCCACTCTTCCTACTCCTTTCAATGTATTCCTTCACTTATTTTTTTCATTCTCTTTGTCTTTGTGAATTAAATGCAGGGCATCCCCCCCAAAAAATGTATACACACTTTTTTTCTGACAGTTCAACTGATGTTGCTTTCTTTTCAGATCATTCAGATTGTGTATACATTTTTGGGAGTCACCCTATATATTTCACTTTTTCTAGCCATCTGCACCGGGGTTCAAGACATCCCTTGAACCCGAATGAAGTACTTTAGACATGGGGGCGTGTGTTCACCCAGGATGGGTTTGGAACACAGCCGCCTCCTCCCCGATCCCAGCTGAACAGTTCCCGAGTCCGTCGGAACAGAGGTTGTCAGCGGGGCTCCCAACCTAAGGAGCCTTGGGAGAGCCGTAGGCCAGAGCCTTAGGAGGGCAGGCGTGAAAAAGGCAAAATCAGAAGCGGGGGAGAGGGAGCGTCTCCAAGCGACAGAAAGGCAGATGGGAACAAACAGGAGCTGGACCGGGACACCCAGGCAAGTGGACCAGACATCAGAAACCCAGGAACCCAACTAAGCAAGGCGTCAATGCCGGAATCGACGTTGGCAGCAAGAAAGGAGTTCGAGCCCGGCTGGCGTGGCTCAGCAGCTGAGCTTTGGCCTCTGCACCAGGAGATCGCAGGTCGATTCCCTGTCAGGGCCCGTGCCCAGGCTGCGGGTGCTGGAGGCAGCCGATCAGCGACTCTCGCCGTTGATGTTTCTCTCTCTCATCTCTCCCTTCCTCTCAATTAGGAGTTCAACTAGGTCGCACCACAGTGGGTATTACCAACCAAGGCTCTCTGTGAACGTCTTCTGAAAAGACGACTGAGCCAGGTCACCTGTCTGGGGTAGGAATAGAGTTAGCAAAGGCTCCAAGAGTGGGGCAGCCCCTGTGGTCTACTGGGACTAGGTGAGTTTCACTAACAATTGGAGATAATTATATGATAGAGTCTTAGCTGTGTGACCAGCATACACTTCTAATGTTCAAGGTCTCGGCCTCCCCAGAAATTTAGTAGCAGATGAGTAGCAAAGTATTAAAGGCCGTCACTGAAAGAGGAAAGGAAAGGCAGTCCTGTCCTAGACCATTCTGGTTGTATTTCCCATTGCATTTCACACGATGCCATGTGGGCCACGCTCGGGTTCGTCTCTGTGTTGAAGGATTTGGGGGACTTTTTAACTTCTTCTTAGTGAAAATGATTTGGCCTTGGTTTCCTGTTATTGGACATCTCCAGTTCCGGGAAGACTGTATCCAGATACCACTGGAATGACTTGCAACCCAGTCGCTTCCTTAACTCAACGCGCTCGCTTATGTTTCCATAGGGAATGGATTTCAGACCAGGTCTTCCTAAAAAATACTGCTCCTGAATGGAAACAGAGAGTGTCGTTAAACCAAACCAGTCTCCGGTCATCAAATCATGACATCATATGAACTTAAAAACAAAACAAAAGAAGATCTCCTGCCCGGCTGGCGTGGCTCAGTGGTTGAGCGTTGACCCATGAACCAGGAGGTCAAGATTCGATTCCCGGTTGGGGCACATGCCCAGGTTGCGGGCTCCATCCCCAGTCAGGGCCGTGCAGGAGGCAGCCGATCAATGACTCTCATCATCGATGTTTCTCTCTCTCTCTCTCCCTCTCCCTTCCTCTCTCTGAAATCAATAAAAGATATATATTTTAATATAAATAAATAAATAAAAAATAGCCCGGCCGGGCGTGGCTCAGCAGTTGAGCATCGACCTAGGATCCAGGCGATCGGGGTTCGATTCCCGGTCAGGGCACATGCCTGGGTTGCTGGCTAGCCGATCAATGACTTTCATCATTGATGTTTCTATCTCTGTCTCTCCCTCTCCTTTCCTCTCTCTGAAATCAATAAAGATATATTTTTAAAAAAATAAAAAAATAAAAATAAAGGTTGCCTGTGGGGATGGGAGCAGGGAGAGGTGTTGGCTTCGGAGGGACAGTCCTTAGGGTGGGGGGCAACAGACCTAAGCAAAAACAAAACAAAACAAAACAAGAAACGTGTGTTGGTCGATTCACTTCCGAGCAACGTGAGTTTCCCTAGAAATGAAAAAGTCTCGAGGAAAACAGGGAAGAGCACCCCTCGCTGTCCGCAAGGGTGGCAGCGGCCTCGGGGAGCAAGGCCCGCTGTGCGCCCCCCCGCAGGCCAGACACACGCCCTACCTTGTATTCGTCCAGCCAGACGTGCACGACCCTGAGGCTGTTGTGCACCAGGGCTCGGACGCTTTCAGTTGTGTTCCTGGTGCTCCGTTTGTTGATGTGTCCGACCCGAGAGCAGGGCATCATGAAGAGCTGGCCCCCGCACATCCAGATCTAGGCACAGGGAAGACAGACGACATGTTCGCGTGCGTTGGCCCGTAGCAGGCGACCGCTGGGTTTTTAATTTTTTTTTTTATACAAACGTAGCACCAGCTCGCGGTGATTAGTTTCGTGTTTCATTCAACCCTCAGAGCAGCCCTACGGTGTGGATACCGCGAGCGTCCCCATTTTACAGATGGAGGAATGAACACCTGGACTGGCTAAGCCGCGTGCCCAGTGACACAGGGCCGGTGCGTGGGGAGCACAGGACCCCGGCTCGGGGACCCCGGCCCCCCGCCGGTGCCCGCATGCTAGGTGATCCCGCCTCTCTCCTGCGTGACCAGTTCTGAGGCTGATTGTGCGTGAGAAGTGGCATGATAAATTTGTCTTAAAATAGTCACATATAAGCCCTGGCCAGCATGGCTCAGTGGTTAGAGCATCGGCCCTTGAACCCAAAGGGTCATGGGTTCGAGTCCCCGTCAAGGGTGAGCACCCGGGTTGCAGGCCCCAGCCCCAGCCCCAGCCCCAGCCGGGGCTCGTATGGGAGACACAGCCAATCCATGCGTCTCTCTCACGTCGATGTTTCTCTCTCTCTCTTTCTCTGAAAAGCAATGGAAAAAATATCCTCAGGGGAGGATTTAAAAAAAAAAAGTCAGAAAAAGGAAAACACGGAAAAGAAATATAGTAAACAATTTAACACGCGCTAAGATAACACGAGACTCCAAGTGTGAGCTCTGCGGAGTCATGACTTCTTAGAGTACACGGAACAGATGGTAAAATTTACACTCGGACAGTAACGGCTGTCACTTATTAATCGGCTCCCATAAATTCACCAACTGAGCCGTTTTCTCGACACTAACTTTTTGGTTGGGCAAAGAGACAAGTGAGACAGACAAAAGTGAGGAAAGAGAGTGTTAAGAGGGACAGTAGTGAGCTGACAGCCTAGATTTGTGTGCGAAAATCTATTACGAAAATCTAGTTTAGTAAAAAGCAAATACCTATGATAAACATGATAAACATTCGAATAGGACCTTATATTTTCGTTGGACTCTCGGGGAATATCTACCTTGTACTTCATTCTTACCCCAATTATTTCATTCAATCTCACAAAATCCTGAGAATGGCATTTGTATTTATTCCTACTTAACAGGTGAGGAAACTGAGACTAGAAAAGTTAATGACTTGCCAGGGATCTTACAGAGGTGCCGCTGGCACTCATTCTAAGATTCACTATCGCAGGATTTCTTTTTTTTTTAATTCTATTTTTATTTATTTTAATATATCTTTATTGATTTCAGGGAGAGGAAAGGAGAGGGGAAGAGAGAGACAGAAACATCAATGATGAGAGAGTCATTGATCGAGCCCGTAACCCCGGGCATGTGCCCTGACCGGGAATCGAACCCCGATCACCTGGATCCCAGGTCGACGCTCCACTGCTGAGCCACGCCCGGCCGGGCTATCACAGGATTTCTTAAAAGCTGAATCTATTTTTGCCTGGCTGGTGTTGCTCACTGGGTGAGTGTCCACCCCTGAACCAAGGGGTCACCAGTTTTGATTCCCAGTCCGGGCACGTGCCCCAGTCCCCAGCAGGAGGCAGCCAATTGATGATGTTTCTCTCTCATGGTGTTTCTCTCTCTCCCTCTCCCCGCCTCTCTCTCTCAAAAATCAATAAAAACTTTTTTTTTTAATCTGTTTTTAGTAACTTAGATAGAATTCACATACCTCAAGAAATCACTCTTTTAAAGCATAGAATTTAGGGATTTTCAGTCTTTCCTCAAGACTGTGCCACCACGGCCATTAATTCCAGCACATTTGCACCCCCCCATGAGGACACCGGGCACCCACTGGCAGTCGCTTTTTCCCCTCCAGCCCCTGGCCACCATGAATCTACTTTCTGCTTTCACGGATCCGCTTGTTCTGGGTGTTTCATGCGGACGGGCTCATAGACGCTTTGAGCGGCCCTGTGCCTGGCTCCGTCCACTTCCCGCAACGTTCCCACGTTTCATCCGCGTCGCAGCAAGTATCCCGGGATTTACGGGCGAGGAGACAACTCCGGCATCCTCTCCTGAGTCCTCCCGTTTTGCAGATGGAGAAGCTAAGACCCAAGACAGCTTTTATATATTTAGTGGCATCCAGGTCCCCCTACCTGCCTAATCCGGTGTGATTTCCAACACACTTCAACTACCGAGACGGTCAGCAAAATTAAAAAGAGGTTCCCCAATAGAGAAAACGGCCTGCTAATGTGATAGGCCGCACATCGGAGATAACACGGTGGGAAAACCTGATATTTTATGAAATGTCTTCCATTTTTTTTTGCAAGGAGTCCCATAAATCGTTGTTTTTCGTGGGACACCGGAATGGTACCAGACACTCACGGAGAAAAATAGCGTAATTGCCACAGCAGGTGACATGACTTAAAGGTCGATTTCGCTTTGTGTGTACAAAGGGAACTGTTTTTAAAAAACCCACAAAAACCCCGCAAAATGTGAATTACCCTTAGCGAAAGCTCCACGTTTTCTCCCCCCCAGTAGTTCATTTCCTTGTCGTACTGTCCAATCTCGTAAAAATAATGCCGATGGATAGCAAAAATCCCTCCGGACATCGCAGGGGACCTGGAAAGGACACAGAAATAGTAGGTTGATTCTACAGACTCCATAATGATGGGCTTTTTGCCAAAATTATATCCAATAGTAATGATGACACAGTTAAAAACTAGAAAACAACCATATTAACTAAGTCAAAATTATCTTAATATTTAAGTACGTGAAATATACTAAGTTAAAACCGTAACTACCAAAAAGTAGGCAATAACGCTTGCTTAGCTCTTCCCAAATTATGCGAGCAATACGCAGGGCGGGGTAAAAGTAGGTTTACAGTTGTTCGTATAGAAAATAATATAATAATTGCCCTGGCTGGCCTGGCTCAGCGGTTAGAGCCTCGGCCCTCGGACTGAAGGGTCCCAGGTTCAGTTCCAGCCAAGGGCACCTGGGTGGCAGGCTCCGGGCACCTGCAGGAGGCAACCAATCGATGTCTCTCTCACATCAATGTTTCTCTCTCTCTCTCTCCCCCTTCCACTATTTCTGAAAAGCAATGGAAAAAAATCTCCTTGGGTGCAGATTAAAATAATAAATAATAATATAGTAATTAATAAATAATAATACAAGAATATACTCACAGCTGTAAGCCTACTATTGCCCCGCCCTGTATTCTAAGTGTTGTCTTGGTCAGAGGGAAAATTATCTTTAGAGTGCGTTTCCCGCAGGGATGACGACTGAATTGGGTCCTAGAATTCAGAGATTCCTCCTTATTAAGGGCATTAAGCGAACGGTCATATTTACTTAGAGGAAGAACCATCACGTGGCAAAGCATTTTTTGTGTGTGTCCCTCAATAGCAGAGCCCATAAACACCAAAGTAAATTGTTTGACAGTAATTACCTGTTCGTTCATTCATTCGTTGGTACAATCAACTATCTATTAAGCATCTATAAGGTGTTAGGGATAAATGAGTGAGTCAACAGCCTGGCCGGCGTGGCTCAGTGGTTGAGCGTTGACCTGTGAACCAGGAGGTCAGGGTTCGATTCCCGGTCGGGGCACGTGCCCTGGTTGTGGGCTCCATCCCCAGTAGGGAGTGTGCAGGAGGCAGCCGATCACTGACTCTCATCATTAATGTGTCTATCTCTCCCTCTCTTTTCCTCTCTCTCAAATCAATTAAAAAAAAAAAAAATTAAAAAAAGAAGAAAAGTGAGCTTGGTGTCAAAAGTTATCAGTAAATGGGGAAAGGGACCTGGAAGACGTCTCTTCGGAAACAACCTCACCTGCCCTTAAAAGTCACAATATTCAAATTGAAATCACACGCGTACAGTTTCCCAGACCAATAACCCAGAACAATCATGCTCACCTCAACCTATAAAGTTACAGATGGAAGCCCCTGGATAAATATTTTAGAAACGAATGCGGCAGACGCCTACTTTTTCTATCCACAGCGCTGGCATCTCGCCCATCGATCAGCCTGTACAACTGCCTCCCGAGAACCAAGTCCACAAGCTGAAGAATGTTTGGTGGGAGGAACTCAAAACCTACCCAAATCTACTATTATGTAGACTTTTCTTTTTCTTTATTTTTATTTTATTTTTTTTTATTTCAGAGAGAGGAAGGGAGAGGGAGAGAGAGGTAGAAACATCCGTGATGAGAGTCATTGATCGGCTGCCTCCTGCTCGCCCCCGACTGGGGATCGAACCCGGAACCCGGGCCTGTGCCCTGACCGGGAATCGAACCTTCACCTCCTGGTTCACAGGTTGACATTTAACCCCTGAGCCACTCCGGATGGGCCATTACATAGACTTTTAGAAACAAAATGAGTAACTTTCAGAAACAAGACAAATAACAATATAGCATTAAGCCCCCCAAGTGGAAGAAATAATCTCGGAAGACTTCTTCCCCCAAGTACCAAGACGCCCAGGTGATTTCCCCACAGTAAGACATCTCACCGGATGGGCGCCGTGGGGCCTTCTGGGCCTTCCATCTCGTAAGAGAAAACGTTGTCCCATTTAAATTGTAGATTCCAGTTGAAAATTCCTCTCACCATGGGGGAGGGTTGGTATTTCAGCGTCACGCGGTCGATGGTGTCCAGCATGGGACACGCCACCGTTCTGCGGTCCTTGGCGATGGCAGACAGCAGGGGCTGCAGCCACTTTTTGTTCACCTCGCAGTGGCTGTCCAGGAACACCAAGACGTCCCCTGGGGAGGCAAGCACGGGCTCGTCCGTGTGGATGACACACCTGACGGCCCAAGTCAAAGCCCAACGCAGTCGATTTGTGGAGCATTTGCCATGCGTCTGGCTCTCAAGGTGCCTTCAGTCCCCCG